CTATGTGCTCTTTAAATTGTAACACGTTTTGATTCTCTTAAAGCTTAACACTGATTCTGTTACTTAAAATTAGTATTTTTATGGTTGATTTTGTGTTAATTTTTTCCCCTGAGAAAATTACTTTTGTTGAACTTTTGTTTTTAAAATTCACATGTTTGATTTTCACAAGCCTGCTATGCTTGGTTGTTCAACTACTATTTAATCTTGTGTCTTTACAAATATCTTTTCTATACAATTTCACCCTCTTAATATTGCATTTATCTTATCTTGGATATGAGTAAGTTCGAATGTTGTCAGCTTTTGTACTAATTTTATTGCAATATTAATCATACTTAATTTGCACTATGGTTTATTTTATTGGTTAAGAAGAGTCTTGTTTGATGTGGTTGTATGAGAGAACCAGCGGAAGTCGGCTGCTTTGTTGACAGTCTTATTTTTTCAATTGTTGTAAATGAGATCAGAAGCCTCAAGTTATTGTTAGCATTTCCAAATACTTCATGATCGATAAAACATTGTTGCCGTGTACTTGGTAAAATTGCCATTTTTTTTCCAGCTGTCTACATAAAGACGTGTGTTTATCTTGAATCTTTATATACCATAGCCTTTGATCATTAACATCATCAATCTCTCTGTCGCTTCCTCTCCAACTTATTTCCACTGTTTAGAACTTGAGATGTAATGATGTTCAAGAAATTGATAATCTATACGGGATTCAATACCTATTTCAGAGGCAGCTTTGTCACGTTTATATTGATAGTACTTATAAGCATGGTTATAATTAGCATAAATGTAGGAATTTTTCCTATTATAATTTGTATCTGTGGCGTGTGGTTTTTACGTGGACAAAATATCTTTCCAATGGGAAGGCTGAATTTTTCTAGTTTAAGCTGTTGATGCATCCTCCCTACCCACAAACTTCAGATGATTTTCCATCATTTCTGGAGCCAGCTCGCTTCATATACGAGCACACGCTTTGTGACTTGTTTCTTTAAATAGCCTCTTTTTCTTTTTTTCCTTTTTCAAATAATAATAAAAGCTTGGCGATATTTTCACAGGAGAAATCTATTCATTTGATTTTGTTTATGAGCATTTTGTCCTTTGACTAAGAAGTTTTGCCTGACAGCTCAGGATTTTCATATGGACACTGGTTCTCCTGTGGGTGCGTTAGTTTCTCAAGATGTTAACAGGTCTGATGACTTGAAGCAGCCGAGCACACGCTTTGTGACATGTTTCTTTAAATAGCCTCTTTTTCTTTTTTTCCTTTTTCAAATAATAATAAAGCTTGGCGATCTTTTCACAGGAGAAATCTATTCATTTGATTTTGTTTATGAGCATTTTGTCCTTTGACTAAGAAGTTTTGCCTGACAGCTCAGGATTTTCATATGGACACTGGTTCTCCTGTGGGTGCGTTAGTTTCTCAAGATGTTAACAAGTCTGATGACTTGAAGCAGCTTTATCCAGAGCCATCACAATGTACTTGTTATGTCCTGGAAGATGTTTCTCTCAGTGAGCTTGGGAACAGTCTGACTGAATTTCTACATATTCAAGATGATAAAAAATTGGCATCAAGCTCCAATTTAGTTCAACCTGCTGACAAGACTGATAACTTCAATGTGAAGAAGGGAGATAAATGCAAAGATCTAGATCAAACTGAACCAACCACTATAACTTCTGAGAAATTTTTTCCCAAATGTGCAACATTTGCATGCTTTGGTAAGAAAGCATCCCTTGCTGTGTCTGCAAATGTGGAAGATGACATAAATGCTGCAGTATTGGAGCAAAATGGCCATGAATCTGTTAATCCTGCATGCCCTCAATCCATATCCTTGCCTGTAAGTTTGCACTATATTTGTTTTCATTTTATGTTTTCTTTTTTTTTTCTTCATATTATTACCAAGTCATGATGCTTGGATTCCTATCATGTGAGTTTGATGCTGGATCAATTCAAGGTATAATCAATTGTCTTAAAAGTTGCTCGTATCATTTGCAAGTACTTGGGCAGTAGTTAGGTGGATGCTTTAATTGTAGTTTGGATGTTACTACAGATGCTATTTGGAAGTAGTTAATGGATTTTGATCATTATTTTCAATGCGTGTTTTTCAGTTTCTTACAAGTGTAGGGTATGCATGCCAGAGGCAGTTGGGGTTGAATCCTGTTGCATTCTGAGGGAAGCATTTATGTGTGTATTAGGTGCCTCTTAAGTGTGTTCCACCTTCCCATTTGTTCTACCCGAGCCGGATTAGTTAAGATACTGTTTACAATTCTAATATATCTTAGGTAGACGATACTATAATGAATGCGTTTTTGTCCAAGTAACCCGTAATTGATTGGAAGTTGCATTGTATGTTAAGCGCGTGATTTATGTTGCAAGTTGCCACTACTTGACTGAAATGGTTACTTATATGGTACCAATTCTTTCTAGTTTTCTCTTTTATCAACTTTTTTCTTTTGAAAAGCAAAAAGAAAATCTAAGCAAAACATTTTAAATTTTGGAGACATTGGACATCATTTCAGGCTGGCTGAAATTTCTTTTACCCTTGGCTTCTATATTAGATTGTTGTGTGGAAGCTGGTGATAACCAAAGATATAATTATATTTGGAATTTTATGTAATGGCTGTACAATCATGGACCAGTAGCTGATTGAATGTACATGATGAGAACTAGTATCTTCCTCGAGCCACCTTTGTTTTTTGGACAGTCTGTTTATTCTTTCCTCTTCATGTTTTGCTTTCTTGCAGACTCCTTCAAAGCTAGTATCTGCCATGAAGGGTAGCCGTGAGAAACAGGGGATGACACGTCCAGAGAAACTGACTGTCAGATGGGCGCCTGATGTGTATGATCCTCCTCCATCAATATCTACATCCACATCTGTGAAGATCAAGAAACCACGGCCCAAGAGTGAAAGTAAGAGGTATTATGATTATAAAAAGGGAAAGAACAAGCAGAAGGGCAAACCTTCTAAAGGGAGCAGCAGTAAGGACAAGAAACACGTTCGAAAACACGGTGGGAGTTCTAACAAGTATTACCAAACGCTAGACAATGATGACAGTGTGGTCAACTATAATGAGCCTTGCGGTGAATCGGGGGGTTTTGGTGTTGGTAGCCCAAACTTGTATTGTGGGAGTAGTTTCCTTAAGAAATCTGTCAGAGAGTTGCATTTCTCCGTTGCAGAGGCTACATGAGCCTTATCTTCAACCACCACCGAGTAGTCCTTTCTTCTTATTCATGGTGTTAATAAATAAAGTACTGTTTTAGGGTCTTGTTGACCGTAGTTATAGTACTTCGGAAACTTTTGACAATTTTCTTCTGCAGTGCTGCTATTGGTAAATCTGCAATGACATCCTCACAAACTTCAGGTTTTGTCTGTAGATGAGTTTTTACAATCTAAGCTGCCCTTTCTTTTTTCCTGGTTTAAAGGAAATTGTCGTGCTCTTGTTCTTCATCGATTCTAGTCGGTGGGTGTTCCTGGTTTATGTTATTTCGTGTGTGGTTGGTGTTGGAATTTTGATCACAGTTTAGTATAAACCTTTTTCCTGCCCCTGTTTGGCCAGTGGGAAAAGTTCTCTATTGGGAAAGCTGGAACTGTATTGGGTTATATAATTAGGGCTGAAAGGCCAGTTGTATATTAAGTTATTCAAGTTTGATTTGATAACTTAACGATTTTTAAATTATGTTTAAGTTTGATTTGTTTATAAGGAGTCGATATTGAACAAGATTTTAACAAATTGATCTCAACTTTTTAACAAATTAATATGAGTTGAGCTCGAATAACTTAGATAACGTTTGGTTTGTTTTTAGAAACTCAATTATGTTTTTAAATTATAATCGGGATGAAAAATTTTAACTAAATATATTTTTAAAATACAATTTAAAATTATTTTTAAAACTCCTATCTTCTCTTTATTTTATTATTATTATTATTATTATTATTATTATTATTCAATCAATTAATTATTTTTTTCTCTCTCATCTCACATTCTTTCACATTTTATACATTAATCAATTCAAAAAAAAAAATACAAATCATTTCAAAATTATTTTTAAAATTCATAACCAAATAAATTTTTTCTTTTCAAATCATAATTTAAAAACTCAAAGTATAATTCTGCACTCAAATTATAATTTTAAAACTACTGTAAGCTTATTGATTCAGAAAGTAAATTATTTAAATTTAGTTTGAAAACTTAGCCAGCGTAAATATGTGTTTACCTTCACTTTTGGTTTGTGAAAAGATAAATTTTTTTAATAAAATTTATATATGTTCGGCAACTGTTTAAAAAAATCGCATTTTTTTCTCTTTGCATTAAATTTCTTTTTTGTTTATTTAGATAGGATATAAGAAGTAACAAATAAAAAATAAAAATCTAAAGAAAATCGGTGAACATTAAATAAAAAATAAAGAAACAACAATTTATTATTTATTTAGACTTTAAAGTTAATCTGACACTTTTGATACATACCTATCTTCCTTGAATTTTGATATACATAATAGTTTAAAAATTCATCAATAATTCATTAATCATGAATAAAAAATGATATTATCATTTTAATTTTAAAATAAAATGTATATTTATTATTTATTTTAGTATACACGGACCCAAAAACCCTAATTTACACCTTTTCTCTGTTCTTCATCTTCGCCAGAGGTTCGGCCACAAGTAGAGAAACTCGTAGGCACGGTCTCCATAACCCCCAAAGTTGAGAGAGAAATGGAGATAGAATTACATACATATATATATATGTATATTAAAATTACATTCGTGTGTCGAGATTTCAATTTTACAATTTTGTATATAGTTGTTTTGTTTAAATGTTATGGTTTGGTGATTTGATTTAGTATAATATTCAAAGCAATTAGAAAAGTCGGAAAATAGAAATAATATAGTTTTTTGATTCATTAAAGCATTGCCAATTTATACAGACAGCATGGAAATATAAGATTATGATTTGGGAGCCCTGCATTAGATGAAAATTTTGCATCAAATAGGCAAGTCTTTCA